GCTCATCTCATATTCAGAAAGCTTCACATTCTGCACTCCAATCTGCCGCATGAGTTTCTCTGCCTGTGAGGCAGCAATAAAATTTAACATTAAACTTCAGTTTTTGGTGAAGCTATGCTTTGCCTAAAGTTCAACTTAGTAAGGCATCTTAACTTGCATTATCTTAAACAAACCTGTGGCAAACAATGGAACACATTACAATACAATGACATTAGAATATTCAGTCTACATGAAAAGTGGATAGGACTATACAGGATAAAGAAGTAAACAAATAAAAAGAGGGTACATTTAAGAATTTTGTAAAATCACAATTTCTACAAAATCCCGTAAACTACTGAAATTAAACGGGATACCTGTTTTTGTGCCTCAACTTTCTGTTTTCTTGTTGGATCTATAGCATCCACCATCCACTTTATGGTAAAATATGTGACGGCACCAAATATTGTGAGGCGAAAAAGTAAACCTATGACCTCGTTACGGCCCAAAGGGCGAGTGATATTGTCTGTTGGAATCTCTTTCAATACCATCTTCTTACATTCACCTGCAAAATAAAAACAATAAAATAAGTGTTATTAAAAATCTAGGGGGTTATAAGGAGCCATTTACTTTACATTTTACTTAAATATTAAGTACGAGTTTGAATGTGTAAATAAAGCTCTGTAAAAACGTTATTTGCATATATACAATTGTATGATGTAGTGTGTTGGTAATCAAAAGTTCTACACACTCTTCATGCCTTCTCGAACACTTGGTCCAAATACAGGAAATACGTCATGTAAGTAGACAAGTGGTCAAGTACAAAGACGCAAGTGTGTGTATTGGAACAGGCCCCATGCAAGTGCAACGTAACAATTTATTGTTATTAACATAACAATCACTCCGTGTTCGCTCCATGGATAAATTTGCGCCTAATTACGTCTCTCCACTGTATAAAAACATTTCAGTATGTTTTGAAATATTACTAAGTTCTGTACAGAATGAATATGTATTAGATTAAACAATAATAATTACACAGTACCGCCGATTCCCGACACGTGGAGTATGCACATTTGTCAATTCGCTTTTATTATGGTGATGAGTCAGCGCAATTTCGTTTCATTTTCATTTTCATGAATTTTTACTAAAGAGTTATTGGAGCTTTCCTGTGACCTTCCTGTGAAAAAAAAAACAGATCACATACCTGAACCGTCTTTATTACTGGGTCTTGGAAATATTGTTTTAAAAAAGCAGCTTCCTTTCAATTCGACGATTCATTTACTTCCAGCGATCAGACTACTTCTTTTTAACACATTTTATTAGTCCTCATTCTTCTTCTTCTGTTGCTGCTGCTTCTTCTTCGTGTTTAATGGCGGTTGGCAAACCAGCTTAAGGTGCATTTCCGCC